GCATAAAGGAGGTGTACAACACATGAATTTTTTTATAAGATGAAAATATATATTAAATCTGTTCTTGAATCTTCACTTTGATAGTGTTTTGAATAAAAATTCGATTTTACATATTTAATTAAATAAAAAATATAAATGACAGCATAATAATAAATATAGTTCAATTTTAAACTTTAGTTTGAAAATATTGAATTAAAATATGTATTTCATTTGAATTAAACAGGATAAGTTGCAAGACAAGTTATTTTGTATATTAATATTAATAAAATTATGCCAAATTTCAACGTATTGTGGCAATATTTTTTGCACATAAAAATATTTAAAATAAATGCCCCGTACATTTATACTTTTGTCTTTTCAATGATGTGTTTTAATTATACGTTTCGTGCACAAAAAATTTGTATTAAATAAAAATACTTTTGTATTATTCCGCATTTTATTTTATCAGTCAAGTCTTTAATAAATAAAACTCTAAAGTAAATTTGGTAAGCAGTAAAATAACGATATAATAGGTTTTATTAAATGTTTATTTAGCAATTATATTTTCATGAATAAGAAACGTAGCATACATATTCACTTTTTGTATGTGTCTATGTGTGTTCATATGTATGTATGATCAGAGGTACGAATATATAATACTAACTGACGGGATAAAATGCATGGAATTGTTCAATTTAAAAACTTAAGGCAAATCGACAATTATTTGCGTGAAGTTAACATACAATAGTCCGTCACTCTGTACTTATCTCTATCTATATTTCTAATAAGCTATTAACATTTTTTTTCTTTTTCTAGTATTTTTCATTTTTTTTGTATTTTTATATATTTTTCATGTTGTCTGTTATCAAGTCAACACTAAAGAACGCATTTATTAGCAAAATCTCTCCAATGTTAACTGATTGGGAATTACCAGATATACTATATACTTAGATATACTATCACCTAAAAATATATTATAAAAATTAATAACATGTAGGGCTTAGATAATGATAAATAAGATTTATATATTTTCAGTACCTTCCAATTTTGAATATTTTGAGAAAAATAGGGTAACTGTTCTAATTACTGCCAGTGTCCTAATTACTGCTGTTTTTTTTTTCAATTTTATGAAAGTATGAGATCATTATACATTAAAAATATTATTAATATTAAACTGCGACTGTTATGTAAATATAAGCACAATTGTATGAGATATGTTTTATATTTGTAAAATAATTAAAGAAGTTAAGAATGTTACTGAAGATGCAAACTTTATGTTCTAATTAGAAGTGAAGCTGAATTGCATAACTTGAAAGTGTAAGCATACGTGGTATTTTCACTTTTTTATATGAACTAAAGTAATTTTATGATAACATTTAAATGATTTTAATAAAATAATCATAAAAGGTGATAGGTTACTCTTCTAATCCCTGTGAAAAAATTTTACTGAAAGTGAATTTTTTAGTTAACATACTAAAAAAAATCACTGAAATTAAACTGAAATTTCTATGAAATTTTGCTGACAATGAATTTTAACAATAAATCGCTAAAACTTTACTAAAAAATATTCCAAAACGTGGAATAATTTCAACGAAATTTTTCCACCAGCGATTTATTGAAATAGCAGCGTTAGGGATAATTATTTAAGATTTGTCAGCATTACTGCCGACAGTAAATTAGTTCTGTTATGCGTGAACAATGTATCAATTCGCTAATTACTGCCAATTTGAACGTCTTTGACTAAAGAAATGGTTAGGTAGATATTCTTAGTGTAGAACGATATAGTAAATATTACTAACAAACATTACTAAATGATATTTTAAAGATATTTTTATCGAGATTTCCAAAATGATTTTGATAGTATGCATAGTAAATGAATGGCAGTATTAGATATATGTGGTAATTGAAGATGCACTATTTGAATAAAGACTGGCAGTAATATGTGTTTCAATATCTTATATTTTTTTTTTTTCACTTTTCTTTCTATATTTAAATAATTAGTTTTCGAACTTGTTGCTTTTATTTTGTATATGTTAAAGTTTTTACTTAAACATAAAAAATGATATCTATTATCTCAAAAACATTAAAATAAGCATATCAATTATCATTATGTTTTAGCGGTAGTAATCGGAACAGTTATCCTATGAGTGAAATGTTTTCCTTCATGTTCGAGCGCAACATAATGTTCATGTTTTTGATTTGTGATTTCAAATTTGCAAAGCTGTGCCATCCACATGATAGAAAACACTGTTTTAAGTTAGCTAGTAATCAATTTATACTAACACATTTTATCATAAATAAAATTTCAAAAAGATTCATATTTTACGAAAAGTCAACTGAATCATCCAAATTTTGTTTTTACTAGATGTTTGCGCAATTTTTTTTTATTTCATGAACATGAATTATGTTCGGAACTACAGAAAGATAATTGCACAGTTTATAAAGGATATCAGTCAATTATTCATAAATAATATCATTCTTAAATGATAGAACGAAAGCGATCAAAACTTATTTGTTGGTACTCGCATAACAGATATTAAAGTCTAGATTATACATATTGATAATACTTAAAAATAATAAGCAAATGTACTTATACATATATTACGGAGAATAACGCGGTGGTACCCAATCTGCCACAATTAACATTGAGATATATCGATAATAAATTTTCTCTAAAATTTGACAGTTCGTTGCCGTGATGTTAGTTGTTCAGTACGACTACAGATTCCGTCAAATTCTTTCACGTGGGAAGCTTTGTCAGCAGCTTATATGCTCTTATAGGAGTTATTAACATTGTGTTCAAGAGAATGAATCGATATACCCATTGAAAGCCTTTTATGTACGCGTTCTACGTATTCGCGACTATAATTTTTTTTTGTTTTTTCATCAAGCCTCTTTAATTTAACGCCGAAGTTTTTCCGCACTAAATATAATCGTTTGATATAAATGTGATTTTTCGAAACTTATATATTTCCAAATTTGCAACTAATAAGAAAAAGCAAATTATATATGTATAGTAAAACTTAAAATATAAAAGAAAAATGTGCTGTTTCCCAGAATTTTCCAATTGTCCTTTTCAGAATTTTACCTTAGATTTGGTAGTACCTGTAATAAAATATAACAAAATACAAATAATTACATGAAATCATATACTAAATTCATGAGAAAGCGAGGAGAAAGTCGTTACAGTAAACGAAAAATGAGTGAGATTAAATAATCAAATAGTAGAAAAAAAATTGTAGAGCTGAGAAACTTCAGTATCTTTTCTCTCGAATCAATACCTGCGCGTTAAATTTGAGAGGCAGAACTGCTTGCCGATTACTCGATGGCATAGAGCATGTAGAGATTGCCAGCATCACTGCCTGGTGGTACCAAGGCATGAGTTGGCGGCAGGACCGTGAAACCCAAGAACATGAAGGTACGAACCAGCATTGCTAGACCATAACAACAGAATGATTTAGACGGTGAGTCTTTCTCATCAACGCAAAAGTCTTCGACGTTTGTGCCGAAGAATGGCAAACGACAAGTACCTCGGTCTGATCTATCTTTGCGAAGGCAAACAATGATATTGGTGCAGCGTAGTGTTTCTTCGGCGTATTCTAGGAGCGAAACAAAGCCCTCTTTTGATCCTTCAGGCAGAAGGCAGCTAGGTACGCGAATGTATAGACAACGGCGCCATGCTACGGTCTCCCACTCGACGGACGTACTCTCAGTCAAGTGGAGAGTGAACGTTAGACGCAATGGTTCGTTGCTTCTTATGGCTTTCAACAATTCATCCTCCTGTAAGTCGTAACAAAAAAAAAATGCGATCAATCAGAATTTAGCTTTTGTTCGATGTTATTTCACACTTGCAATCGTAAATAAACAGATTTCTAAAGTCGTCTTTAAATATAAAAAGTACGTACTTGTACAATGTGGGAGCTCACAGAGAGCTGACTCTGCTTGATCCCCACGCCGCGGCTCTCTGTGTTGACTGTAGATACAGACAATGCGGCATGGGGCACATCAGGACCACCACAGAGGCCCCACGCCCAGCGTTATACAGTAGTGCTGTTGCAGTCTAGAGCCTTCCTCTAGGCTCTCGTCCATACATTTACTAGACATTTCACTGCAATGTATATTTTAATTATTAAACCCAAATTCCATATCTTGTAACACAATCAAGTACATCAACCCTCAACTACAGCTATAAAAAATATAACATCTAAATTTTAAAGCGTCTTCAATTTTGAAAACAGAATACAAATGAATGTATGTTTTACGACGATTGATAGAGGAAGATTCAAAGTTTTTTTACTTACACATTGCAATTTAAAACTTTATAGTATCAATCGTCTTCAAATTTCGCTTCGGATTCAAATGACCCGTTGCTGCAGTCGAAGGTTAAAAAAATTGACTTATTTTTAAATAAATAACAATGCAATCTGTTTAGAACTGTTATTGGTATGCAAGGATATACACAAGCATGATTGAGGATTACAATAAAGGAAAAAAGATAAATCATTAAAATATCAATACGCAAAATACTTGTTTTTTTTCTTTTTTTTTTTTTTTCAGAAATATGAACATCCAATTGACGTCACGAGATGTTGTTCTTTCAAGAGCAGCTGACGTATTCGGGACATAAACACAGTGGATACTGCCAAGACTTGAAATTCTTAATATATACTTATGTAATTTCAGAATGCATATATAACTCTTCTCCAAGCCAAGGATAATCGGTTTATCACAGAGGACTAGATATACTACCGCGAATCAAAGCATTTAATCTTATTAAATGTTTATTAATAATTGGTGATCGCACGAAATACAACTACAGTGGCTGTCATCATCGGCGAATGTCATTAATAATACGCCATTTCTGCCAGAATGTCACGAGAATGTACCGGAAAAAAAGTAGAAAAGACATGTCTACCTTGGCATTTGAGTGGAAATTTCAACGGGATATAGCGAACGGTAGGGAGTTTTCACCGATGATGATATGACGTCCCGTCGAGTCGTGTCTACCGCGGCGAAACAGTGCGGAAAAAACCGGAGCGGAATTCACGGTTAAAGGGAAAATGCGCGACTGCCACAGCAGGCAGCCGAGGTATGCGATTTATATGGTACACGCGTCAGGATCTGAGCACAAAGATGGCTGTAACTAAGTCGTGAAACGTGAGTCGTAGTTATAGGTCAACATAATATTTGGCATGACCATGTATGCCGCATAATATACGACATAATTATACCAAACATATGTTGATCTACGACTCACTTTTCACTCAATCAAGCTAATTGTCAGTTACAGTCGTCTTTGATGTCGTTTCAGGTCTTTATTGAGTATTGTCGGACTGGGAATCGTATTAGCGACGTCATTTAAACGGGCGTTCCGCCAAACAATAATGCGTGTTTTGCGCGTTGCGGAGAGAGAGAGAAATATATGTGATCGGTCGGTTCGCTTACATCTATAACGTTTTTGACCGAATAATTCATGCAGGTTAAATATTTTATTCTACATTTGCCTCACCTTGATATCAGAAAATATCAGACTTAAAGAGTAATTGTGTACCCGCAACACTTTGTAAATGAGATTAAATTATGTGACGCGCAATTTATAAATAATTTGCTGCGCTTGCGTATATATGTCTGCGTGCATGTTGCAGCAATTAAGGTAAATAGGCCATTTAAAAGTAATAATATTAATAAAAATCTATAGTTCACCCATTACATATTAGTTAGTTATATTGGCATATTGTCTCAAACAATAATAGCATAACAATATTATGCAATCAATAATCGCATCTTGCTTTTTGAATAACAATGGTTCTCGCGATATAAATTATCAAAGAGATATTTTTGATATATTGATATATTGATAAATTTTGATATATGATATTTCCTTATGTCAATATTTAGAAAATTGTACAAAGAAGAGAATTATACAAAGGAAAGGACACTTTGCTGAAGAATTAAAAAATTAAAACAGATCTGAAAATATATAATTTTGTTGAATCGTTAAAATTATTATGTGGAACATTTAAACTGATTGCTAGAACGTTAAAACTTTTGGCAGCATTGCTTATCATACTCGAAATTCCTACATAATTATTTTGAACTTGTTAACTAATTATGTTAAACTTTTTAAAAGGAACCTAGAACTCTGATCAGAACTCTCCGGATTCTATATAGGACTATAGATTCGGTGCTAACTTCACACATCCATTATTTTGATGATTCAATAAAATTATATATCTTTTCAGATCTATATTTAACCAAATTTTTAGATTCTTCAACAAAAATAATTTTGCTGAAAAATCTAAAAATTTGGTTATATATAAAATTATTTTTGCTGAAGAATGTATATATTGTTATGATGCAATCACGGTTATCACGATTATAGTTTAAAATGGATTATGAAAAATCCATAATGACTGATAATTCTTGACAGTATCAATCACACTTAGATTTGACTAACGAACGAGGATTTCCCTAAGTATTTAATCTCCAGTATATAATTTCAATAATTTGTAAAATTATAAACAACAAAAATCGAGTGTGTTTTATGATATCCCGCATGAACTCCAATTTAAAAAATGACGTAATAAATAAATTTCACATAGCCCTCAATTATATGGAAGTCTCAAGAAAAATCAAAGATACGATTAGAAATGATTTCCAAGTTCAAATGTTATCGATATAGAATGTAATAATAGGTCATCTATTTACGTTTAAATGTTTAATATAGCCTGATAATATTCTTCATCCATTGCGATATGTCAGAATGCAATAAAAGACGCGTCGGTTTCTTCGATATTTATTCGAAAAAAAAAAATGATACACGTTCGTATACAAAGCGTCTACAACGAAATTTTAAGACATACAACTTAAGCTTTGAGAAACTGATCAATCACAGTCGAATGTGAGGAGAATAATTGACTGTGATTGGTTAATTTCTTATGAGTTAAAGCTTGAAGACTAAGTTTTCTTGTAAACGCCGCTTACGAACGCACAAACGAAATCAAAATAATTCCAGAATAATTCGTCTTCGTGCTCCGCGACTCTTCACGCAACAACGACCTTGCACGTTTCTGCACGAGCCTCGTTCGTATTTTATTAATCGTTCTGGAAGTTTCTCGGAACCAATTGACAAATTTAATTAGAAACGTACATGCCTGCAACATATCATCCAATTGTACTCTTCCACGGGGACAAAATGTTTTGAATGCGATGACATTATCATTCGCAATCAGCCGTTTAACGTAACAACTCATCTTAAAGAGGATGAATCGTAGGAGCGAAGAAACCTTACGACGTTATTCGAAAATGTTTGCTTCCGTATTTATTAGTACATTCTTTCAAATCGATTAATTTGAAAAAATGAACTTAGGATCCAAGAATTAATCACTAAAGATAACATTAAAAATAACTACATATTTAACATAATACATTTTAACATAATACATCGAAATTTAGTTGTAAATACAAAAAGTAAAAAAACATGGATGAAAATATTTTGAAGTTTCATGTTGTTTATTGCTCAGTACATATGTCATTGTACAAACAAGAAATGATTCGTCCTTTAATTACAGTCCATATAATAGTAAATATTAATCTAATTCGCTGACTAATGAAATTATATAAGGGATATAATCGTGGTATTAATGCAATTATGTACGCAGAAGCTGGTAATGTGTTACAATTATCAGTATTTTTTCTTATCACGTAAAAAAACGAGAACGATGATAATGCAGCCAAAAATAGATGATACTCGAGTACGTGCGATCGATTAGAGACCTGTATTTAAAAATGTAAAATGTGAAAAATATCGAAAAACTTCTAAATTTTTAATAATATTTAATAATTTTTTTAAAGGAATTTCCAAAGAAATAAGTAAGAATGGAAATAAGTAAAAATGGAAGAAATAAGTAAGTCGAATATTTTCAAATTTATTAAATTCATTTCTTCATCTTATTTTTATTACATAAATTTACTCTTTTTAATCGTTGAAAAGCCTTTTAAGACAAAAGCGCGAAAGAACGAATTGCTGAATTTTTACTAAATTATCTAAAAATTTAGCTAAATACAAAAATTGGAAAATAATTTTGTTCGAACTAAAATAATTATGTAAGACTTAAATTGGTTGCTGAAATGTTAGAACCTTTTACGATGTCTTTTATCATTTTTTGTCGTCTAAATGTTCTGTATAATTATTTTGATGACTCGACAAAGTTATTTTCAAATCTGTATTCAGCTAAAGTTTTAGATACTTCAACAAAATCGTTCACTAAAAAATTTCTAATTGAAAATCAACAAAGGAGAAAATTCTGATTATATCAAAAAATTCTAGTTATCTCAATTAGAATTGTAAGATTCAATTAATGCAATCAGACTCTTTTTCCAGTGTCTTTCCACACAAAAACGTAATAATAATTCGTAATTTAAGTAAGCGAAATATAGAAAGCTACGAGAGAACTTTATTCATTGTTCGCGTATCATCGTGATATGACGGATATGATTTCGCAGTGAGAATCACGTACGCGCGTTACTATCACCTTTGAGAAATATGATCGAACAAAACATTCGAGCTCTTCTCTTTATTTCAACGTTATCGTTTGATTTAGGACAATTGTCAGTAGTCAAATTCGAACGCTCTCCCAGCTGGCAGAAATCACGTTTGGCTCACAAAAGATGTAACTTTGAGATAAAGCGACATTGCTGGCCGTATATCGATTGGCTGAGGCACGAGGCAACCTGACGTTATAAAAGAAAGCACAAAGCCAATGTCGCTGTTCTAACGGCGCATTGCCCGTTTCACGCAAAGTGAACATGATCGTAAAGAGAGTGAATCATAGATATCGACTCTCTCATTATTTTCCTTTTTAACGATATAGATTCTCCTTATCTCGAATAATTCGAAATGTTTTTTTTTCAAGTGATATAAATGTTCTTATCGTTTTATCTCAAAATTTTTAAAATATCTTCCTACATTTTATATAACATTCGAATATCGCACTCTCTGAATTGTTTCACATACGGAATACTCGCTCTAGTCTGGAACACGAACAAAGCTGCTTGAAAAATTCAAACCCGGATGCAACTGTGAACGTTCGTACATCTGCTTTTCCACGAGGGTATTCAAAGAAATCGTTACACACCTAATCATCATTGTTAATTACGACAAAGCTCATACAAATTACGACATCTAATATATCCTATATATAACAAAGGACAGGTGATAAATACGGTTTAAAAATGTTCCTTGTTTATAAGTGAATTATTATATTATACGTGTACAATTTATTAACCGCAGTATATTTGAATTAATAAGTATAAACACAAATGTGAAATTGAAAAAATTCTGTTTCGTAAATTGTAAATAATGAAACTGCAAATATATAATAGATATATAAATCAAGTTCTTTATATCGATATTTATTTATTTATTTCTCTCCACATCAAAAAATAATTTCAAATAGCTGATTAGATAATCGATTACATAGCTGATAAGTAAAATAACAGTATAACATAATAGTATTTTTTACGAATTTTAACATTTGATGATGTATATCTCGAACTTGATTGCATAATTTTGGAGATGATTGAATATCGTTCCATAATAGAAACAAGGCTCACAAAATTAATCACGAGAAATGTCTCCTACATTTTTAACTGACCGTATCAGCCGTTTTCCGTTTAATCAAGAGCCGTCCGTTAGGTCAACTCAAACCGTTTGAATTGTGGAAAGTTCCACAGCTGTGTCAGATAAACGGTATTCGGTATCACACACGCTTTCGTTTAGATAAATATCTTCAAAATTGTATCCGTTCTAGATTAGATATCGAGAGCATTTCCGAAGCAATATCTCTAATATATGAATCAATAAAAAAAATATTATAGGGTAATGAGCGGCTCCGCGTGAAAAGGTTAGTTAAATCATAGAGAGAGAGAAAGAAAAAGAAAGAGAGAACAGTTTTACTCCAATTTTATATTTAAAATCATCGTACGTAATCTTGAGAATCAGTCAATGAAATGGTTAACATCGCTCATTGCTATGACACAACTAAAAAACAGAAAAAAAACAAAAAATAAATTTGAATACTTTTTGAATCACTAAAACTTTTTACGCGGAAAGATTTTGCTGAAGTGTTATTTGTGAAAAATTTGGTTAGATACAGATCTGAAAATAATTTTGTTAGACGATCAAAATAATAATGCTGCAAAAAGTTTTGATATTCCAGCGACCAATTTGAATGACTTACATAATTATTTTGATAGTCCAACAAAATTATTTTCAGATCTATCTATACCTAAATACAATACTTCAGCAAAATCATTCTTCCCATATAATATTTATTTTGAAATGCAATTTTGATGTAATAATTGATTATAGAGCAATAAAAGTATGTCTAAGTATATTTTTTATTTTTTCTTTTTTTCAAGCAACTAAAAAATTATAAACGATAAATGTTATTGAAGCGAATGAGCCATCTCGAGATCTTAATAAGATTTTAAATACAAGATCCTGAGTTAAATCTCGTCCAGGATATCGATCATATTATTTTTTTCTCTAAAGCAGAAATATGAAAATTTTTATACATGTGTGTATCGTATATATACATACATACAAAAAAATATTCATTTCTCACGTTTCTATTCTAGGGAAAAAGTTACATAATTAACCCTCAAAGCTTAAGAATGTCCCCACGAATGTCCTGGTTTTACACAAGGCAGATCGGAGAGTTGAAGGTCGCGAATGACGGAGTTTGAGATGAGAATGGTCGCCCGTTTCGGCAATATTTTTATATTTTGACTATCGCAAGCTGACAAGTCATTTTTTCTTGATATCATGTGACGATCAATAATTATTTTCCTTGTAAACATTATTGCAAAATATTATTTTTTATTTAGACGGAACGCGATGTTACATCGTCGATTCAAGAAGGATCTATCTCGGAAAGGCGTCGTGTCATTAAAAACATACGCCGATCGTCTAACGGAACAGCTGATGAGGCAACGCTACTGAACCTGTGACAAAGTAGGTATATCATAATACGCGGAATAATTTTTTTACGAGCTTGTCACGTGGCCGCGACACGAAATCGACACTCCGCGTGGATGTCGCGCAGCTGATACTTCAATACTTAGTTCTCAAGGGGACATCTTGTCAAGGCATGGATAAAGACGGTTTGGATAACGATGCCGAGTTGTCTCATTCCAACCACATTCTATCCAGCGATTACGTTAACGACAATCGTAGCCAAGAATATTCACCTGATATGCAAACCGTCTCATATTTCGAACTGCATGACAAAGAGAACGTAATAATGATGCTGATTACATGATACGAGATCGAACAGTTTATAAACAGGGAGAAAGAAAGAAGAAGGAAGGATGACGAAAAGAAGCTGATAGAAAAAAAACAGAAATAAAAACACAAGATCAGGATGCGACGTGCAAAATGGCGACTCGCAGGGAAAGCGAGGGCAAAAATGGCGCAGTTACGTGTACTCGCCACTCGGGCTACTCACCAATTACTGGAAATTAAACTCGGCATTATCGGCTTTTTACTACTTTCACTATTACTTAACGACAGACTGGAGTTAATACTCATACTTCTTTCTTCGTAAAATTTTGGCGGCTTTAAGTGCACTGCTCCAACACGAAATGTTCGCTGGAGTAGCGATCGGCGACGATGGGAACTGATTGCGGCGGCTTACGGTAACACCCAGGGCGCACGAGACTCCACGACTTTCACCCAACAATGTTCGAAGCGACACTGCTGGAAATCGCGGCCGACTTCGCGGCGTATACAGCGCTGTCGACCCTACCACGTGACGTTAGATCAAAAAGTCCACGAATCAACGTGCAGTAAATTCCCACGTGCGCACACAGGCGCCACTTGCGGATTTTCGAATGCTGGAACGTTCAAAAATCGAACACAGACCTCTGTTTGCACGGCAGTCTTAATTTAATAACATCCATAGTTACGAAATTAGCAAATCATAGAATGGAACGACTATGATCGGTTTTATAATTATGGATATTATTAAACCCGATTAAGGGTGTCACGTATAAAATATTAGGTCTGTTTTTTATTGCTGCACTCTGAATCGATGCAATAAATTGAAGTGAAACACACGTATATTTATTTCATTTCAACTTATGGCACTGTGTGTACTAGTTCAGAAAGTGCAGCAATAAAAAACAAATCTATAGCACCGATCAAATACTAAAGACCGTCAACCCTGGGCAAATTTTCGATAGTGTAAAAAGAGCCCGGAGATAATTGAAGAATGCTGACATTATCGACAATTGATATAAATTTGCTATTATTATATTAACATAAATATTATATTAACATAAATATTTGGCTAATACATTACTAAATTCATGATTTTTTTATTACATAAATGTTCCCTAAATAAATATGCATACTTGTAAAATTCTAATATCCTATATATTGCCGAAAAATTACAATTTTTTTCTCTGCAGTTGTCATTTCTGTTGATAATCAAAATTTGACGATAATACTGAAATCACAATTTTAAAGAAAAATCGAATATTATTGAATTCTAAATACTACTAAACTAATAAATCATAAATACTACTAAATTAATAAGTCATAAAATTAGTACAATATTATCAGTTTTTAATTAATCACTTCAATATTCACAAAGACGCAAACTCTTGTGAGGATGTTGATCTTTAATATCGATGTCTATAGTCACTGATTCTTCGGACTTTATGTCCTTTTTCGTCAATGTAGATTAATTTTAATCTTGATTTTACTTATTTTTTATCTTTTTCTTGTTTTAAAGCCTGTTTCTATTAATGTAGACTAACTTTAATCTCAGTTTAAAACTCACTCTTTATCTTTTTCTAATTCTCAGAAAAAGAAGAATTAGTTAAACCGAGATTAAATTAAACATTGGTAAAAATGGGCCTAAGAATTAGAAAGAAATAAAAAGCAAATTAAATCGACGTTAAAATTAACCTAACACTCAATACATGGTGATTATCTTTCATGATACACGATGATTTTGCGTTCCGGATTAATTTTCATCACTTTAACAAATATATGAAAATTATTAATGCCCATTTCTACTAATGATTAATTTTAATCTTGGTTTAACTTAGTTTTAGCTTTTTCTAAAGTTCTAAGAATTAGAAAAGAATAAAGAGTAAGTTAATCCGAGATTAAAGTTAATCTATATTGATAGAAATAGACGTATGTGATTCTTACATATACTTTAACATCTTTCATAAGGTTGTGTATTAAAAAATTGTATACAAATGTTTTATAACTTATTACTTAAACTTATTACTTCTAATTTTTTGAAAAAAAAAATGTGAAAAACACAAATGATCGTATATTAAGGATTTTATATTGGTAGAAATTAAGACTATTGTAACTTTTGAGATTTAAAAGATCAACTTTGAAGATTTAAAAGAATTCGAATCTTTGATTAGACGATCAACGCCTATTTCTACTAAAGCTAATGATTTGCTTCGAATGTCGAAGTCTTCGAAGCAAATCATTAGTAGAAATAGGCCCTAGTAGAAATAGGCATTGATTGTAATCGACATTTATTTCGGAAGATTCATTCATCAGCAAATTAATTTATGTCCATTTCTATTAATGGCCGTTTTTATTAACATAAATTAACGTTTGGTTCAATTTATTCTTTATCTCTTTTTATCTCTGTTTATTCTTAGAATTAGAAAAAAAGTTAGTTGAACAAGATTAAAATTAAACTACATTGGTAGAAATGGGCATATTATAATTTTATCTTTTTTTAATTCCTAGGACCAGAAAAAGATAAAAAATAAATCAAGATTAAAGTTAATATACATTTGTAGAAATAGATATAAGGCATTTGTGAAAGAAATCCTAGGATTTTCCAATTGATAACACAATTATATTGGACAATCATTGTAAGAACAATATGCTCCGGTTTTACTTATAAGAGACATCGTCAACGAAGTTTTACATCGAATTCTTCTTAGAGCAATTTCTTTTTTATTCATTGCAATGTACAATAATCTTTTCTTGCGCATTTCGAAGACATAAATACGCTCATGCATAAATAAATAAAGGGGATACTCTCTGCGCATTTTTTCTAGGACATCTATCAGTAGATGGAAGATTCTCGAACATACATTTTTTAATTACATAGAAAATATATTGAATTCGAAGAGGATAAAAAAAAAGAAGAAAAGTACATGGCCATTAAGTGTTGGCATAAATCAAAATGTTCGGCCCTCGCTCTCAAATGGCCAGACATTCTCAATTCTCGAAGTCTATCTTACAAAAATTTGGAATGTCCGCGGAATTCAGATTCTCGCTGAAGATCGCATAATAGGTGTATGTCTTACTATCGATATCACTAAATGCTCGTAAATCGGAGTATACGTCAAGGCACAATGCGCTAGATTGTTCTTTACCTACCATTGTTTAACTAATTTAGACTCTTATATAAAAGGGACTAACCTTCTTTTTCATAGTACGTAATAAAATAGTATGTTCACGTTAAGGTTCCCTCGAGATAAATTGTCATGTAGGTACACGTGCTATGATATGATACTTCAAAAAGTAAAACGCTTTAATAGATTCGATGAATAAATGGCAAAATATATAAACGGTAATAATAATAATAATAATAATAATAATAATAATAATAATAATAATAATACTCTCTTATGTGCGTTTAAGTAGCTAAGCTTAGCCGCACATGACTTGGCGGACAAAATCTTCATAATTGATATTACCCTGTGAATCTTCGTGACCCGCTAGTAATGTTTCTACTTCCTCGTCGCTGAGTTTTTCACCTGCAACGGTACAGATAAAAATTCTGCGCACATATATGTATTTGTCAAAGTAATCTGTTTAATGCGTACCAAGTGTAGTCAAAAGGTGTCGCAATTCCGCAGAAGATATGAAACCATTTCCATCCTTGTCGAAGTGACGCAGGCCTTCGATAAAGTCATCTGCCGTGTCAGAGGCACGGGACTTACTGATTGCCTGGTAGATCGGTAGAAATACCTCAAAACTAATACGCTCATCCGGTTTATGTTGATGAGTGAATTTCTTCACGTCTGATTCGGTTGGATTTTGACCAAGAGCGCGTAACGCATCGCCGATTTGAGACACATGGATCTTTCCATCCCCGCGGCTATCAAATAACTGAAACGCCTCCTGAAATTCTATAGTGATACACTTACTTTTAATCACTTTCAATTCGTATTTTACATATAAAAATAATTTTAGGGACAGAGAGAGAAAGAATTATAAATGACAAAGCAAATTTTAAGAAAAATATAAGTAGGATTATAAAAATATAAATAGGATTATATCTGTGTTCTTTTTCGAAGAATGTCAACTGTACACTAGTATAAACAAATATGATTTGTTTTGTTTCAATTTGTTACAATAATGTACAGTTTAGGACATTCTTCGAAAAAAAAACAATCTTTTGTAATTCTTCTTATGACTATCTAGAATATATCAACTCTTAGTACACAAGATAATATTCTGATTTGTTCCCAGGTTAATTTTCTTTTTTATAAATATACATTATTTTTTTATAAATATACAAAAATTATTAAATAATTCTTACATATACCTTAACATTTTTTGAAGATTTTTATATAAAAAAAAAGAAAAGGATGGAGATTTTTCATTACTTAGTCAGGTGCTCCTACATCTTAAAGAAAAGAAATGTGCAGAATACAAAGACTCAATCGTGTGTATCAAAAATTAATAATAAATTTCAAAGCTACTACAGGGTGTCACCCAACAATAGGATCATTTACCCTCCATGGATGACATCATTCTATTAGCCAGCTCCTGATAGCTATAAACGTACATCTTGACACTTTTATGGAAAAAAAATAAGATTTATCACTTAGCAATTACTATAACAAATGTCAATATAATGTCAAAACACTAGGAACGTCTTACACCGGTCAATCCCTAAGTGTGTCTTGTATCAACAATGCACATGACTCGTATATTCGCGAGAGTAAAACAAGAATAATCGGTGAGTTCTTTCAGAAAAGACGGGAGCGTGATAAAGTCCTTCACTGCCTACAGTAGTGGCGACTTGCTTTCAAATACCAGACCATAAAAGGCAGTCTTCGACAGGCGTGCGCGCGCGCGCATCAAGGGAGCGTCTAAAAAGGCGAGGATACTCTTGACCTGAATTAAAACCTCCGGAGAGAAGAACGCGGCGCGGCGTGGACCACCGACTGTATCGCCTCCCTCATTCACTCATTCGTTCGCGAGCCTCTCTCTCTTTCTCTCTCTCTCTCTCTCTCTCTCTCTCTCTCTATTGGTTCTCGTTCTGCATGGCTGTTACACAAGTTGCCCTCCACTTACCGGCCAGCTGATCCTCGGAGTAAGACGCCTGCGAACATACGCACGTAGCGGACTCGTTTAGACGCATGCTCGTCGTGTCAGTTCGTGACGATCGACGTGTTTCTTGCATCAGTTGCATCACACGCGGACGGTAATACACTTCCGTGATACTCACCATCGTCAGATGCTCCTTCGCAGCAACACGTCAGCGACAAGGAATGAGCGACAATGTGTCACACGCGGATGTCCAGGTGGTACCCCGATGATGCTACCAAAGATTTATTGTCGCGTAGCGAGCGGGCGGGCAAACGAACCTTTTCGCCAACGGTGACGTAGACGGCGGAAGTGAGTCACGATCGCAAACCCGCTTTTTCTTCTCCAGGCTGATCCGAATCTCGTAAATCTCGTACGTAAAAATATGGGCTGCAATCACCGAGTAAACGTGAATGTCAGTGAATGTTACAGAGCCTCTGACATCTCTCCGACGAAGTCACGAAGCTGAGGTTGACGATTTTCGCTCGATCTCTGCTTCACGCAGGCGACTAGAAATTTTCATCGTAGCGCCATCTATCGTTGTAGCCTGTTAAAACGACAGCAGTAAAACGGCGAATTACGTTGGTCTCTTCTTTTACTAAGTTAGAGTGCTGTAAACTGTCCCATGACAGTTGAAATTTCGGAAAATGGAATCTCAAAAAAGTAATAGAGTGGAGATCAACTAATCAGAATTTTCTTAGATTGGATTTCGGAAAATCAAACAGAGGAATAATAAGAAGAAGAAGAAGAATCAATCAGAATTATTGAGATGCATTACTCGTCTGCACCAGGAAGATAGATCATTCACCATGGAAGGATTATTATTCCACCATGAGATAGACTTGCGCTCCATGTAATTAGGAGATAAAAACAAGCGGATCAGAACGCGCGGAAATACGGGAAATTTAGTAAAGTTTAGTCAATTTTGTCTTCTGCGTTTCCGCATTTCTGTGCACCATGTAATCGCACTCTAAGGAATCAGACTATGCATTGAAAAATGAGATTAAAGTCTGAAAGATTGAAGTCTGTCTAGTCAGAACAAAAAAGGAGCCAAAATTTCTTTGTCCTCATTGGTGAAATTTCAATCTTTAATCTTCAATCTCAATCTTCAATGCACAGTCTGCGGGCCAGTTTCAACACGAGTTAACTTAATCAATCGTTAACTGACCAATCACGTTTACTGTTTAGTAGAATTAATCAATTGTGGTTGATAGTTAATCATAATTAAGTTTGATTGGCGTTGGTGAAACCGACTTCGATTCCGGTCTAAGAAGACTCCACTAATGCCCGTTTCTATCAATGTAGATTTACTCTTGATTTAACTTACTCTTCGTCTTTTTCTAAGTTCTAAAGATTAGAAAAAGACGAAGAGTAAGTTGAATCGAGATTAAAGTTAATCTACATTAGTGGAAATAAGCATAAGTCGGCCCCATTTTGCTTTTAGAAATGATGTATTATTACTTTCGCTGCGCAGCAAAATTGGATTGAAGATGCGATCGAGTTGTTACTTCGAAGCATTTTTTGATTGGTTACTTAGTAAAATTCTTTCTTCTGATTGATCAATTAAATGCTTCAAAGCATTCGTAGCAACAACTCGACCCTAAGTTCAACTTTTGTTTCAGGATGGAAATTATATATTTATTATTTATGCGAGCAAGCGAGATGTTGATTGACTGTCACGCTAATTTCCGCGCGACAAATGTTGCCCGTTCTGTATGCAGAAGTCATTACATTAATAAAAGACCGATTCTGTAACTTTTGATGACAGACATTGATGTCGTTGCGCAGATATTATGTATAGTAAAAAAGCTATGTAATGACATCAATAACTGTCGTCACCAACGAGATACTATTAAAGATTCTTATGGGAGTTCACGTCTTTGTGAATATTAAAATGATTAATAATTAAAAACTGATAATATATTATACTAATTTTATGATTTAGACATGTTTATGCACTTATAACTCAATAATACTCGATTTTTCTTTAAAATTGTGATTTCAGTATTATCGTCAAAGTTCGATTATTAACAGAGATGATAATCGCAGAGAAAAAATTGTAATTTTTCTGCAATATATAGAATATTATAGCTTTATAAGTATCCATATTTATTTATGGAACATTTATGTAATAAAAAATCATGAATTTAATGTATGAGCCAAATATTTATGTTAATAATAGCAAATTTGTATCAATTGTCGATAATGTCAGCGTTCTTCAATTATCTTCTGGGTCCTTGGGGCTCTTTTTATACTGCCGAAAATTTGCTTAGGGTTGACGATCTTAATAGTATCTCGTCAGTGCTGTCATTAAGAATTAAGGCTTAAACACAATAGGCACGGGCAACAAGAAATAACAAGCCATCCAATCAAAGTTCTGGTACGTAAGTTCAATATTATATCCCAGAACTCTGATTGGACAGCTCGTTATTCCCTGTTCCTTGTGTCTATTGCCTGTGCCTATTGTATTTAAAGCCTTATTGTTATCAGTCTCTAAAAGTGGACCAATTTTGAGTTTCGAGTTAAGTTTTGATTCTCGCGGCGCTTGTGAGCTTGGAAAACGTGCGCATCTCCCTTCCCATCAATCCAGACAAAGATTAATCGCAGACAAAATCGCTTTTACGAGGTTAAGTTACATCGTGATACCAGAGAAAAACCAGAGAAACCTGAGAGATGCCATGCCTTTTTTCTGTTACCGTCGAAATCACTATCGTTAATACCATCCATTTTCAGTTTGGAACTATGTGACTACATACATTTTCTGACACCATCGATAAAATTGTGTCGTCGAAAGTAGATGTGATTCATCTCTATATTAAATCTTCAGGTAAAAAAGCTACGCAACGACACGACAACTGTTGGTAGGCATGTAAAGACGGAATTGCGCCTCAAAATAGAAACGTGTTGAATTATAGGAAAGATAATCGGTTCTATCCTGAGGATTTAATATAGAGAATCACATTTGATGAACTGACACGAACCACATCTACTTTCGACGATACATTTTATTGATAGTATCAAAAAATATATGTAGTCGCATAGTTCCCAATCTAAAAATGGATGTACTAGCGGTAATATACGATTTCGACGATAACAGAAAAAAGCTATAGTTCAAAGGGACAAAGAAATTTTGGTTCTTTTTGTTCTGAGTGGTCAAACTTCAATCTTTCAATCTTCAATCTTATTCTTCAATGCATAGTCTGATTTTGACCTAAGTTGAACTGAGATTAAGAGGCCTATTCTGTACTCTTAATGACTCTAATGATCGTTAAATTGTCGTTGCACAGTTTTTTTACGGTATACAAAATCTGCGCAATGATACTGTAATAATATTGTTGCAAAATGCATATGGACATTAATCTATCTGCATATATACGTTAAATACAAGATTATCGAAATTAAATTTCTATACATATAAAAAGAAATTCGTTATTAATAAATAATTGTTCGATATATAAGTATTTATTAATATAAAAATATTATATTCATTTTTCTCTCTCTCCAGCATATAAATATAATAATCTATATCGTTGGAGATAAAATTACACGTTTGTCGGTCCAAAATTTTTACGCTATGAATTTCTCCATGGATCAATATTTCCGAAATTATAAAAAATCAAAAAATTTATTTTAAATATTTTATGAAAAAAGATAATTATTATACATATATAGAGAAGAATCCATCGATCCATTTGTCATTTAATCCAATTATTGGTCAAAATTTTAATATTATTAATATTTAATATTAAGCATTTAATAATATATGTATACGCTTTTAAATAATTTGTTCATAGAAATTGAATAACACATAAATTTATTTAGAATATTATTCATATATATTATTAAAAGCATAATATTTAAAATTTTTATTATTTTTTGACAATAATTGGGTTTACTAATATTTATTTTGTCTTAGGATGTTATTAAGTCATATTAAGTTATATAAAATTACAATAAATTTAATAGAAGAATAGAATTAAAAAAAAGAAAAAAGTGTAGAAAGTATAATCAGTAAAATAATATAGAAGAAATTATTATATTTTCTACAATTTGTTCCTTTCTTTTTCATCCTTTCAACTTTAAATACACCTGTCACATTTGAAGCGTAATAGCTGATTACAACATAGACTTTAGAACGATCAATCATTATCATGATGTCGTTCTTGAAATCACACTTCCGCAAATTTATCGCATATTTAAGCATTTATATGCATGATGACTGTTATTCTACGAAATATAAAATTATTTTCTTCCAATTAATTTAATATTTTTTACACAAGTCATATTATTTATATTTTTATTACTTATAACTTATTAATTATATCAATATGTAACGCTTGAAAATGCCAAACTGATAATTATAGATACCTTGCGTAATAATGCATTTAAATGCAATGCATTTTATTACAATAAAAATCACATTTGCGAATTCGTGTCAAGAGCAACATGCCATTAAAGGTCTGTTCGCGTTGTTTGCACTTTTTGCATTTGCAGCATCTTGCTTCTCTTCAACTGAATATCTATTTATTTCACTTTAAGGACAGACATTTTTTGAGATTTCGAACAATTTGAACAGACTTAAAGAAAAATCAGGTGATCGAAAGTCGCTCGGCGATTGGCTATTATACATCTTTGACACGTGTCCTCATCATCATTGGATGAGAACAAGAGATGGGACAAATCTTTTTGGCGGGATTTTTTCTGTACGCCTGAATGTGTTATCAACCATGTGATTATTCTTGATAAACTCGTATAAAAAGGTGCAGGGTACTTTTTGAATTTCAATTTATTTGTTTTTATATTTATTACATTTATATTTATTACATTTATATTTATTACATTTAATAAAAATAAACAAATTTAATGTATATTAAAATAAAGAATAATACTTTATAATTTTTTTATATGATTTATTTATTTCAGCTTACATTGGAAAGCTACAAAAAGGGAATAAAATATTTTTACAACATCTTATAATGGAAAACTTCCAAAATTGTAAGTAATTATATTAAATTTATAAATAATATAAATAATTGCAAGTAAATAACTAAAAACTTGATTCAGGAAGAAAAATTTATATTATTTATGTTATTTAAATGAAAAAGAAAGTTATTATTCTAAACATTCCTTTTAAATACATCTCTATATAAATAATAATCGGACAGATTTATATATAAACTTAATTATCCGATAAATACTTCTTATTCTTATTTTTTGCAAGCAATATTTTTTTCCGGTACAGCTGATACAACATATGTTTATATACACGTAGTACGTAACGATGACTAATGTCCAATTCTACAATAACATAAACTTTTAATTACTTTTTATTTTTTTTTAATTCTAAAAGTTAAAGAAAGCGTTATAGAGTAAAACTAAACCGAAATTAAAATTCATATTGGTAGAAATTAAAGGGATATAATTGTGAAAATATGTTATAACGTATGCACATTGCATAACCAAAAATATTGCGTACAGTTTCAAACATCGTCATATCATCGATAGTGACAGTGGCGATGCTACAAATGCTTTAAATTTTAAATTTTTTGATTGGTTAATTTGTAAAATTCTTTTTTCTAATTGGTCCACTAAAAAGCATTGGTTCACTTCAAAGCATTTGTAGTGAAAGATTAACCGCAGTCATCCGATGTGTGTTGGTTAGATGTGCAACATTAGATGTGCGTCTGTCAATCGACTTGCAATAATCCGTCGTAGTAAAACTGATTAAAACTCGATACGACAGAATGCCACATACGAACGGCATTCAGTCTCGCAGATAAGATGTCTCGTTTATGGCAACAAATATGTTTCTATTGTTTGGTGACAATCACGATTGTATGTTCCTTCGTTTCCGCTGAGGATGCTTTGCTGTTGAAATCATGCGATCAACATTTTAAGGATACACGCAGGTGATTGACTTTGATCCTCTTTCCTTTTCATTGAGTAGAGTGATGTTTTTGAAACGAACATTTTTTTTCACATTTGTCATCTTCCAAAGGGTCCTACATGATTATCTTGTACATAACCACAAAATCTGAATGAAGAAGTCTAATGAAAATTTTATTAGACACCTGTTAGTCTTCTACCAAAACTGTCTTTGAGAAAGCCTTAAAAATTTCTAGTAAAAATAAAATATATATACACACATAAATGTGTCTAGCCATCTAAAGTTGCATGCATATCGAAGAAGACATAAGAATGAGAAGTAGACATGACAAAGACTGAGAAGGCATGAAAATACATGAGATCTGTTTTTTTAGCTGAACTTTTGCACCAATTCATTTTTCTTCCTTTTTTCTCCAGGAGGAAAGAAGAAGAAAAATGAACTGGTTCAGCCAAAAAGAACAGGTCTATGGCTAAGTATTAAGCGACAAAAGTGACATGGTATGACACTATGGATCATTACATCCTTTATTTGCCAATGTTAAATAAAGATGACATGATCATTGTGTTACACTGTGTCGCTTATTGGAAGACACATTATATCCCTGTGTGTACAAAGAACACATACTTTTGGAACTTGTCCTTTGTGTTGTATTAAATTGCACTAAAACTTCTTGCTTACTTCGTTAAACATTACAAATATATATCTATCTATATTTCATTTTAAGCATCACGACTACTGTATACTAGTTCAGCTACAATGAATGGATGCAAAGTTTAGAAATTTTTATGGTTTGAAAGATACGATTGACAAAGGACAACCAATATATGACTTAAAAGTTAAAATTAAATAACGAAATATTAATTATATGTTGTATTTGAATCTTGCTCATTAATAGTATTTTGTTTCACCAGTTTGATATTTGTCAGTACATTGGATGGAAATATATCAGCCCTCAATGCTAGCAACTATGGTAAAAAACAGTGGACTATTGATTTTAATAATGGACCAATGTTGTCATCCAGTATTCATGACACAGAAGTAAGAAAGTGTTTCTTTCTTTATCTTTCAATGCTTGATATTATTATATAAATAACTTCTATGATACTTCTAGATAATGTATCATTGTTTGAGATAAAGTGTTAATACAAAGTATTAATTTTTATAGCTTAACAATAATGGACAATGGGTACGTTTAATTCCGTCTTTGAGTGGACAATTGTATAAATTTGATGGAGAAAATTTGGAAACAATGCCGATAACGGCAGATCAATTATTACATTTATCACTTCGTTTTTCTGATGATTTAGTTTACGCTGGTGGCAAAGAACTTCATTCTTATGGTAGGTTTTAGTAGATTTTTTTTTTTAGATTGTATGTTATTTGTTTTTATAATAAATATCAAGCATCTAGATGAAAGGTGTTAAAAGAGGCTTCTAAGAGTTAACTAAATTTTATTTAAATAAATTAAAACAGTTTTTAAACGGAATTTTAATTTAAAACTTAGGTATAAAAATTTATAATGCTAGAAAATTTTTTAAAGAACTGCTTTATATTTTTTTATTTAAAAATGTTAATACTATTTAGAAAATACTATTTAGAAAATAATATAAATAAAATAATATTTTCTGTAAAATAGGTGTATTCGCCAATACAGGCGAAATAAAATATAAATGTGTTTCTGGTGTTTCTGAATGCAAAAACAACACAGATAGTCAAGAATACGTAGAAGAAGATATACTTATTATTCAACGTTTTCAACAAACTGTGCGAGCCATAGAAGATCGTGCAGGTAGTGAAAGGTGAACTAACATCTGTCCCAGTTCTATTTACATAAAAAAAAATAAGATATACCAAATAACATCATTGTTTAAAGGTGGAACTTTAGCGTTGGACAATATGAATTAAAACTAAAATCTCCTGTTTCTTGTTCCAATGAAGATATTGCTCTAAATATAGAAATTAAAGCAATTATTCCAGAAGGTTTGATTTGGGCTGTTGATAAAAATAATCCTAAAATTACATTATGGCAATATAAGGTTAGTACAACAATTATAATATTTAATATGCAAAATAATAAAAATCATTATTTTTATTAGTTTGATTCCCCAATTGTTACAATATGGCGTGGAGACGTTTCTTCAGGACCTTTGGAAAAAATTGATTTATTCGATACCTCTCAGTGGATATGGGGATCGGAATATTCTGCAATTAGGCCAGGTTTATATTTAGGCATGCATGAAAGACAATTATATGTACAAGAAAATCACAATAATAAAAATTTGTTAGAATCTAAGTATGTTCAACATGTAAAATATCCATGGCAGCCATATCCAGCAGCTAGTAAGCTTTTCGATTTATTTTACACTGTATATTTGCAAAATTAACATTTATTATTAATACTTTTAAAAAATTATAGTAACTGCTGTTGTAAATACTTTACCGGATAAAGATAACGATGAAGATTCCATTAAAACAAATGAAGCACAGAATGCAATTGCATTGTCTGTATTATATAGTTCAGAATATATTAATGGTAATATTTGAACATGCCAATATCTTCATTACTCATTATAAAAATAGTCATAGTATAAAATAGAGTAATTATATGGACAAATTTATAATTGTGAATATTTTTTTACAGGTAATGGATTTTACTTATATTCAACGGATCAAGTAACTAATAAGCAATGTAATCATAGCAATTCTGATATTCTACTTATCACTGGCATGGAAAAATCCATGCAAAATTATGTCGAAGAGGAAAATATTATACCTACTAAAGTTGTGATGTCTATTTGGGATTGGTGGTAAGTTTCTAATTATAATCATATTTATGTAAAATATGAAAAATATTTAAGTTTAATTTTTTTTGTTAGGAAAGAGATTTTAGTAATTTCGATTACAACTGCGTTTTTATTGAATTTTATGTTGACACAACGTTTCTTTAATGTAACGACAATCGCTAAAGATGCCATACCTGCGGTAAGTAAATAAATAAACTGTATAATTATTTATATTTTTTATTTTCTTATTTAGCTATTTTAACTTTATATTTTATTTTAAATTAAATGAATTATATTTCAGCCTTTAATAGTTGAAAGACATATAGAAACCAAAATAAGTGATACAACTAATAATAATGGTGACAATTTTTATTCACGTTTCTTAATGGATTATGAGCTAGTTGATTGCTTGGGAAAAGGAGGATATGGCGTAGTCTTTGAAGTCAAAAACAAAATTGATGATTGCAATTATGCGATTAAAAGAATTGCATTGTCGAACAAGTTAGTACTAAATTATTTTCTCTTCTTTTTCAGTTCTTTTCTTATAAAGACTTATAAAGTTTGTTCGTGTCGCATGCTTCAACATGCTCCTACTTCCTCCAACTGTAGTTTCTACTCACTCAAACGCGCTTAAAATGAGTAGGAATTATGGTAGGAACATGTTGAAGTATGTTGGAGTATGCGATGCGAACAAATTTCTTGTGTATTCTTAAGTGAAATTCAAATACTGAATAGTATCGTACTTATCTTTTTCTAAACTAAAGGATAATATTTAAAAGAATGATTATTTTTCATTCTTTTATTTTATTAATATTTATATTACATTAATGTTTAATTTTATATAAATTTATAAAATGCAAGTTAAAAATTTATTAGGATTTTTATAATGCAGTTTATTAAGACTTCTAAATTTACAAAGTAATTGATTACAGCATCTAGTTGCACTTATAAATATGATTATAACAATAGAATTTTAACTAGATAAGAATTTTATTTATAAAATATTATTACAGCGAAGATTCAAGAGATCGCGTCACAAGAGAAGTAAGAGCATTAGCTAAATTGGAACACCTCAATATTGTAAGGTACTATTATGCTTGGTTAGAGTGTCCTCCTAGTGGATGGCAAGAAGAACATGATCAACAATGGATTGATAAACTAAGATGTTCTACTGATTTTCTCTCGTCGGAAATAACTCAAACCGAGACAAAACCCCCTAATCATTCTGTGTACATTGATGTTTCACAAACTGATCAATCTTCTGTAGAAAGTGCCTGTGAAGCGTTCGAATTAAATAAAGTGGCAAACGATGATTCATACATTATATTTGAAAGATCAAACGAAAAGCAATATGATAATAACTCGATTTGCATCAATACTTACAGTACCGATAATTCAGACTTATCCATTTCGAGTAATATAACTGAAAAAGAATTATCCCATAATAATGAAACCGATTATTCTGAAAGTATTGTGTTTGAAGAAACTGATGATAATATTGCGAAAGAGAAAAAAGAACGCAAATCCCAAAAACCGTTTTCCTTAGATTTAAAGAAAAAGCCAAACATCAAGAAGTCTGCGAAAATGTTCCTATACATACAGATGCAGTTGTGCCAAAGACTCAGTTTGAGAGAGTGGCTAAAGCAGCACACATCAGAAAGAGATTTTAATCAGATATTAAATATCTTCCAACAAATAGTGGATGCTGTGGAGTATGTACATTTGCAAGGATTAATTCATCGAGATTTAAAGGTATCGTCTGTCTTAAAATATGGATAATAAAACTCTATTTTATATTTTATTTTGTAATAAAAAAAATTGTTTTTTAGCCATCAAATATATTTTTTGCTCTTGACGGTAAGATAAAGATCGGCGATTTTGGACTCGTCACTGCGATGATTGATGGATGTGATAGGACTCACACACCTGCAGCTGAATATGAGAATGTTTCTTTAAAGAATAATGTACATACTGCATGTGTTGGCACGCACTTATATATGTCACCTGAACAAATGAATGGCCAAAAAACTTACAACTACAAAGTAGATATTTATTCCTTAGGAATAATTTTCTTTGAACTCCTTACACCATTTTCTACTGACATGGAGAGAATAGCAACGTTATCAAATCTAAAAAAATCCATTTTTCCGAAAGATTTTTCGAAAAATTATTCTGCTGAGGTAAAGGAATTAAAAGAATACATCAATCGTATCTCATATATTACATATATGTATATATAATGTTTTAATTGGAATTATTATGTAGAATATATATACATATATCTCTTTTGCAGTATGATCTGCTCAAAATGATGTTAGATGAGGATCCCATGAAGCGACCTACAACATTAGGTATTAAAGCGAGACCTCCTTTGCAGAATTATGAAATAGTTGATTTTAATACAGATAAAGATTCAAAATGGCATTTTGAATTGCCACAACTGACTAGACATTCCTCTTTAACTAATAGTAGTAATAGTAACGGCGAGTTGTCTGAGAACATAAATTGATAAGTTGCAAATATTTTTGAAACATCTATGAAATAAAGAGTTTTTATTTTCTTTTTTTTTAGATATATTTGTTAATTACCCATACAACGGATCTCTGGGATATTCTGAAGACATTCAGAAGATATAGTATTATGTCCTTTGAATGTTCTAAGAATATTTTTAGGATGTTTCTTGAATAAAGTGTGGGTATGTTTTTATTAATTTGCATATGTATATAGGAATTATGCTCGTAACAATTATTTGGATAACGATACTACTAGATCTCTTCATCAAAAATTTTGATATTTTTTTTTAATAAAATCAAACTATAATTGTTATATTATTTTTTATGAATGTAATTGTTATATCATTTTAGAATCATCTTCATCATTATTTTGTCAATTTTATTTATTAAACATGTATAATATTATATTGTCATTGATTATATAAATTTATTCTTTACAAGGCTGTAATAGAAAATGAATAACTTTTTAAATACAATATTATACAAAAAATTTCAACTACTGTAGTTCTTTTAGATTATGTAAATCTCCTTTTACAACTATCCATCTTCCTATATCTCTCTTTCTTTATCTTTGTCCTTATCTCCTACAAAATTTATAATAAAATCTATTGCGCTTCCTAATTAACTAAATATATCTGTATAGATTAATATCTCCAAATATCAGGATTTTTATAGAACTATCTCAAATATAAATATCTACAAATAAGATTATGCATTCTAAAGGGCGCGGGTTTAAAGCATTAAGACTGTTCTTGTTCTTTTTAAATGAATTTTTGCACCAATTTCATCTTTCTTCTTCTTTCCGCCTGAAGAAAAAAGGAAGAAAGATAAACTGATACAAAAGTACAGCCAAAAAGAACAGACCTACATTCTCGCATGCGCATATATCTGCAAATACCGTTGACTTGATTCGAATATGCTGGATTATGCTTGACGCACGCTGCCTACGCTTGATGCCACTGCCGGTATTGCCGGTGCCGGTCTGGCGCGAATGAGCGCTGTGGAGCATGGTTGGAGGGCTTGGAGGTTAAAATTGATTAGAGTTATATTTGAAGTTTTTTTGCTTACATCGAATTACAAGATCATACAAGTACAGTATCGAGTATGTAATTATGTCAATTTATCTTATATCATTCTATGTTTTCAAAAATTTTACATTCTAATAATTTCAATAAAAGATGCATTCAGATTTAACCTATAATTTTAATGCGTTGCCTTATTTTCGCAATTTTTAAATTATTTTGTTTTTTTTGTGCATTAAAAGTACTGAATTTCTTGATATCAAAATAATTATAAAAGAATAAGGAAAGATTTATCTCTTTTAAGGTTATTAAGATCTATATGATATTATCACTTAAAATTAATTTCCAAATATTTACATATTCATATATCTCGTCTTTTTCTAGTAATACTTTTAGGGAATGAGGAATATGACGCTTACAGAAATGGAGCCTTTAAAAATGCATTTAGACTCATTAGAGATGGCTGGGAAAATGGTAGATAAACATATTATTGCAGACAGTAATTTTCCATCCTTAATTAATCTTATGCGATACAATGTGCAAGGTAAATTATACATTAGTTACATAAAGAATTACTAAATTAGTATTATAAATATAATTGTGAAGGATATTAATGTTAATTTGAAGCTATAAACCTATTATAATTAATATATTCTTCATAGGTGGACCAACCGTTAGTGGTCTCGATGATCATGACTATCCTAATTTAAATGGTGCATCAATGACTTTAACAAATATTAATCAAATGAAGATGCTTAATAAAATTCCTTTGCCTTCTGAAGTCATGGAACACTTTGGCCGTATCCTTTCTAAATAGTAAAAATAAATACTTTATTATGTATCAATTATTCTTAGTTGATATAAATTATAATAATTTATAGTATAAATTATAATATTATAGTATTAATTGAAAAGTTAAAAGTTATAAATGAAAGGAGTATGATATGAATTATCCCTATTTTGAATGAATACAGCCTATTTTGAATTTACAATTCCAATAATATTCCTTTTTACTTATCACCTTCAAATTTCTAATCAATTTCTCATTACTGAAATATGGGATGAGATGGGATATCGATTATGATTCGGCTATTTTTATATGAAGTTTAAATTATGATAACTATTTTATGAATATTAAATATATTTAATCCTTAATAAAATTATAGATATGCAATGTCATTGTATGATGGGTCTTTTCACAGAGATTTCAAAAGCATGGCTTACAATTGATAGTGACATTTATCTGTGGTCATATGAAAATGAGTAAGTATTTTGAATTTTACTGATAAATATGAATTTATAAATTTATATACATGAAACTAAAATATTAAAATTTTTTTTGCTCTAAAATTATATAGATCTGATGTTGCTTATTTTGATGGTTTGAATGAAACTATTATAAGCGTAGGCTTAGTAAAACCTAAGGCGGGAATCTTCCAGTGCTACGTGAAATACTTGTTAATTCTTACAACAACGGTAGAAATAACTATTCTTGGTGTGACAATACCCGATGCTGGAGGAGGTAATAATTTATTATATTCTGTTTATTTGTGTTTGTTAGGAATTACTTTCTAATTAAATTTAATTTTTTTTCATATATCTACAGAAATGCAGTTAGTTCCAGAACCGATCTTTACTGTTACTACCGATGGAATAGGAATCACTACAATTGCTAATACTAATAGTGGCAGAATATTTCTTGGTGGTAGAAATGGATCACTTTTTGAAATATATTATCAGGTTAAAAATCTTTATCAATTTAAAATAAATTTGATTTATTTTATTCTTAGTTTTATTTTTTAAATTCATTTTATTATTCTATATGAATGAATTTTTTCGCATATAGGCAGAGAGCAGCTGGTTCGGCAAACGTTGTAAAAAAGTTAATCATTCAGAAGGTCCATTATCATTTTTAGTGCCATCATTTGTCACTATGGCATTGTCAGAGGAAGAAGCTATAATACAAATATCTGTGGATGATTCGCGTAATATTTTATATACTTTGGGTGATAGAGGCACAATTACGGTTTGGGATATTGATGGTGGCGCATCTAAAATCACTTCATTATCTCAAGCTTCTTTAGTTCAAAATACTGTTCATGTTGTTAAGTGGGTAATCTTTTATTAATGTACTTAATATACAGAGAGTACTTGTATAATACATAAATAGAATTATTAAAACTTATTTTTTCCAGAACTCTGGATAGTAACAATTTTCGACCTCTTGTAAGCATATCAGCCATAATGGAATCCGAATCGATACATTTGAATTTGGTTGTTGTTGCGGCAACAGGAACTCGTTTTTACTTCAGTTGCACTTCAATTGCAAATCCGTCGAGTAGACCACAATGTTTACAATTGATACATGTCAGGTTACCACCAGGCTATGCTGCAAATGCTCCAGTAATGAGACCACGAAAAGTACAAATGGCCTATTATCGAAAGGGTAATTTATTTTTTTATAATATATCTTGAATAACACATTCGATTTGAATATAATTCATTGCATTGTAAAATATCTTCTAGGGACTCTTTTTCTTGTTTGCGGTGGTGATACGGAAACCGCATGGTGTTTGAGTAATGATGCTTATCCATTCACAAATTACTTAGCTGAAACTCAAAGTATTTTGCCTCTTGATAGTCCAGCTTGGGCTATGGAGGAAATCATAAGAGATTCGGCTATACATATAGAAAAGCAAAGTAGTGCTCAGGGTGAACCTCCTTTATTAGTGCGCCAACATATGGAACCACCAAGGAAATTTATATTCTTAACAGCACAGGTATGTATAATATATTTTTATCATATCTATATGATACATGCATTGGTTATTATTATTATATTTATTTTGTTACAGGGAGCAATAATCTTAATGCAAGTTCGTCCTGTAGACATATTAAAACAACTTCTCTTAGAACAACGTGGTCCTGATACTGAAGTAGTACGCGCATATTTTCAAACACAATCCTTGGAACAAGCTTGTGCTACATGCCTAATTTTGGCGACACTTGAGAGTTCTCAAAATGCTCAGGTAATGATATATTTTTACATATGTTTATCAAATTTTACTTAGTATAGTGAAAGCGAGTGAAACTATATTATCTGAATTTGAAATTGCTCCAAGAGTTGCTCTGTCAGTTTATTAGTCTAATACTAAGTCTATTGTAATGAGTCAGTTTATTAGTCTATTGTAATGAGTCTTATGAGATTGTTCAAACTCCCCCTTCTTTAGCTTCTTAGTTTAATATAGTTCTAGAATCTATCTTTTTTTTTAACTGTGCAAATTACTTCAATCTCTTATAGAGAGAAATATAAAAATAGTCGAGACCGAATTTGGGATCTGTGAATTTTCTTTCACACGAGACATATAATATGTTATCATCTTTAAATTTTATTTATATTTTTTAATTTATATTGGTAATTTTGTTCTATACTATATATATGTATTATTAATACTATGTATTATTAATAACAATAAATTTTTTTTATGTGTAGTTGTCAGAATGGGCAACTCGTGCATTCTTCCTATATGGTGGTCAAAGAATAGCAGGAATATGTCCTCCGATTGATATGCATTCTGCTTTTCCTACCATACCAGGTATAATATTGTGTTTTCTTAGATTTCAAATGTCCATATAATATTTGATTTATATATTTGATTTACATTTTAACATATAGCAGATTTACGCACATCTACGCCCAGAATGCCAACTTTCGATTCTAGAGTCCAATCCTTTCGATCACCTACACAAATGGGGCTTACGACAGATATTAGTTTGCAACATTTCTCTGCTAAACATAGCGGATTATATTTGTATGTGGGAAGAATACTTCGTCCTATATGGAATGTAAGATGTATAAAACAAGAAACAATAAGTAATAAAAATGTGGTAAGTAATTTTAGAGAAAAATTATTTTACGTAATTTAAAAAAAAATATTTCCTCGATTATCTATTCTGAGACAAATTGTATGTTATTATTTTTA